CACCGAGCTCTGACCGGGAGAGCAGGGTGCTGACTGGGCAGAGACTGGTTACCAAGGCACCGAGGGCTTTGCTTTCTTCATTTCAGTTTCTTCTTCTTTCCCAAGTCTAAAAACAGAAGTTGGACACTTAATTTTGTTTCTATTGTTCTATGTCTATTTGAACGAGACAACTCTAGATGTGCCTTCCTTCTGCTATATTCTTGCTTTTACTAAAGCTAAGTGGATTCACCTGTTTTGAAGTACCAGTTGCCTTTACAAACTTTCCAAAATTCTCTATCGTCTGTTTATTTGTTGAGGATAAACAAAATAGGAAAAAATGTTTACTTATGTCTGGATTCTATATCAGAAATTTTGAAATCATACATTTTTAGTCTAACTTTATGGCAATAGTGATTTGGTACAGAAGGGGAGAAAATAGAAATGTTATTACTCCAATGTTAATGGTTTTAACTTTGTAGCGGCCTCAATTGTATCTTTAATTTTTACTTGTATCTACATTTGTATTTACCAACCTGGAGAAAACTTGGAAGGAAGGAAAAATTTGATTTGGAGAAAAGATAAGTTTTGAATCAACTATAAGTGAAATGTATATGAAAAAGTGTTCTTGTTTTCCAGAACAATTAAGGCCATACATTGTAATGCAAAAGTTTGCTGTTAATTTGGTTTTGTTTTTTTGATAATCAAACCTGAACTGTGTACCATTTCTGATTGTCTTTTATCTTTTCATCATTTCATTTTGATGAATTTTTTGAGAAATTTCTCAAAACCAAGTAAAAAGAAGAATGAGAGAAAAGTCAACAATTCCATGCTATTATGTCTGTATCTTTTTTTTCTTTTACTAAATTATTTAACCTACAATATAAGTTGAAAATTTGTATTGGAACTTTCAAGTTGTAGAAATATAATTGGGTTCGGAGATTGCAAAATCAAAGTCTAGAAAGAAATCCCGTGGGGCCAAGATCTTTGTTCTATATGGTTAAATTATTTCTTTTCTCATCAGTCCAAAAACAGAAAGTGCAGATGTCTCATCGTGAAACTAGCAACTGGAATGAAAAAGGAAAAAACTGATTATAATCTGGACAAGCTAATTTGCTGAGGGTTTGCTGGAATGCCTCACTCCCCCCCCCCCCCACTGGCCTGCCACAGCTAGTTTCTCCTCTAAGATTTATTGTCAAGGGATGTGACACTGATACAGGGTATTAAGTTTGAAATTTCAGCCTTTCCTTAGGGGAGGAAGGGATTTATTTCTGTGCGACTAAATGCCACATCAAACTTTTGAACTACAGTGAAAATCCAGGATCGACTTTTGACTGCGATGAGCAGGTTTTGAAAGATTGTCATGGGTGGTTGAAAGGAAACCTGCTCTATGGGATTGTCACAGCATCAAGGTTCAGGATGTATTAGACCTAGTTGTGTAAACCTAGTTATGTATTTACTAGACCTAGACCTAAAGTTCTGTGCTGGGCACATTGACGACTAGATTGAAGAAGTTTTGGAAGGAGAGCATTCCAAAGTTGCTGAGGAAGGAATTTAGCTTTCTGGCAAGAATTAATCGGGTCCCATCGAGTGTAGAAATTGTTACACTTGAGGCTGAGGTTCCGGCAGGGGTTGGGGGTTGGAGATGGCAAAGACTCACATGTATCATTAGGCTCGTTAAAGTCCTTCAGAGACTTTTTGCTGGCAGAGCATATTGTTAATCCCTTCCACCCCTCCTTCAGCTCATTATATTTTCAGCTCCTAAGCCAATAGGTGCATGTTTTTCTTCCTCGAGAGAGAGGCCACTGCCTTAGCAATTAATAAAATAACTGTTGATTGAAGAAAGACAGATATCTATTTCTGGTCTGCCCAGAATCATGTGTGACATGATAGACATGCTGATGAGACTGTTTGTATTTTAAGGCCAAGGACGTGGGTCTGAGCTTCTCTTGGGCCTCTTCCCCGAGTCTGGATCGTGGTCCTTGACTACGTGCATGTAGGTTTCAGATGAAATACAAATCCTCGGTCACGGTAGCAACAGCCCACAGTGGTGTGATGGAGCAGATCCATGGTCTGCTTCTGGAAAAACAAAGTCTGTGCCCTGCAGATCAATAGGATCAATCGCCTTCAAAACCCCTGCACATTATCTCTGCATATGTATTTGTTGTAAATCCTGTGAAGGTTTTTTTTTTTTTTTTTTAGCAAAGTGCCTTGTAAAAATGACAGTAGGATTGTCATAACCATTTCACATAAGGAACTTATCTTTTTTCAGTGTTTTAAAGGGAAAGTTATAAAACTTAAAAATTATAGAAATATCAAATTATGTCACTAACATAAGACCCACATATTCTTTTCTCATTCCCTTGTGGCCACACTCTGTTCATCTATCAGTGTGCCTCCACTAAAACATATATTTTACAAAAACACCAGATTATCGTTTTTCTCCACCTACTGTGTGATACACCTGCTAGGACTCATGAAATATTTGTTTAATAATGACTCGTTAAATTGGCCCCCTATGTTTTCACATTCTTTTCTCCCATCCCATTATATATTTCTACAAAATTAGTTTTGTTGTGGCTTTTGCAATCAGTATTTTAACCAGGCTGTGCGTAGTTGAAATTGTTTGCAAAGGACATTGAGCAACCTGTCAGTTCTGAGAAGTTTCTGACGTATGCTCTTCTATTACCAAAAGCAAATGAGAGGGGGAGGGGAAGGGGAGAGAAAAAAAAAATAAAAGCAAATGAATGCTTGACGAATGGTACCTTTGTCTTATTGCCCCAGAGAAACATAGAAAAACTAACTGTACATAAAATACTTTCCATCCCCAATAGGAAAGAAGCAGGAAAAATCAGATTTTACCTGATTATCGCTATACATTTCTATAAGCAATCCCGCTTCCTGTGTAATCTGGAGTGAATTAAACTTAATTTTATCTTGAAGAGATGACTGTCACTAATTTATTCATTTTGAATAACTTAATAATAAACAGCTTTTACTGTTAACGTTTTCAGAGAAATTTTGTTTATGGTTGGCTTGCATTATTTTTACTTTAGAAATTTCATAAGCAACATTGAGACCATAACACCAGAGAAAACGATTTAAAAAAATAAAAGCTCACTCACAATCCTTTCACCCCCCCAATCTCTTCCTCATTTTCTTTACATCCTTCCAGATCCTTTCTCTTTAAATATGCAATTTGTGTCTTTTACTCATAAGAGTCAAGGTTAATCAAGTGCTCTCGTCATGTTTTATTTAGTTTTTTATTTAGTTATATGTTTTATTTAGTTAAATGACAAACAGGTATGCCTCATTTTGTCCGTCAGTTGTAGTCCTAAAGTTGTATATGTATACTGCTAATATATATTAGCAGTATAATACATATCATATTCAAGGGATCTTAAATCATTAGTGACATTCAGTGGGTCTTCATTTCTGAGCACTTGTCAGTTGGCAGTGGTCCCTCATTCCTGACCTTTGTGCATCTCTGTTTGTATAAAAACACTTAAATGTTCCAAAAGTTCAGCGTTTAGTAAATACTCTCCCCCACCACACCCCCAAAAGGCCTTTATATGACTTCTGCTTTCCACTTATTGATTCTTTTTAAGCAGAACACTTAACCTGCCTTATCTTCTAGGGATGTTATATGAAAAGTAGCTATTTAAGGGGTTAGCAATTTCAAAATTGATACACATTTGATTTATAAAAGCATCAATCCGATAGATTTGATTCTGGAAGCCTGAAGATGGACAAAATTGGAGATGCCATTTATATTTGCAAATTTTTCAACAAGCCACACTTTGTCACTCTGTCATGTGGTGTGGAAGATTTTGAAGTTATATGTTTCTGTAGACAAGGCCATGTAGACCTTTTCTGATTTTTATTTCTCTGCATATAAGTTGTATATATTCATTGGAAATAAATTAGAAATAGATTATTAGCAATATAATACATATTATATGAAGTATATAGAAGTAAAAACCCACCACCCAAATATAATTACTGTTAATATTTTGTTATATTTTGCTTTCAACTTTTTTACTATAATATGTATATATATAATTTTTCTTACTAAAATCCATATCTTCTTTTATAACCTGATTTTCTCTTCAGTGTTAGATTATTTTGGGCCTCTGGGGGCAGGGTAGGGTGGGGAGTAAGACTTTTTGTCTACTTTATTCATTCCATTAAAAAAAAGAACATATAATAATACTTTGCATGGACTTTGGATTTATTTATCTATTTAGAAATCTCAGACAAATATAATAAACATGTGTGCTTTGGTTCAAATTCATACATAAAGCATGGTTGCATAGCAGTTTTCAATCTAAGCATGTTTTGGGGGGGTGATTGTTTAAAATTCTAAGATGGTCACATCTGCTTCACAGTAATTGTTTGCAATGAAAACAGAGAAGCTCCCACATACCTGATAAAGCTGTAGAAGACACAGTTACCATGTTTTTACCAGTGTTTAGACAACAACTAGATTGTAAGTCGCATAAAGCTAGGGCCCACGTCTATGGAACATCATTCTACACATATTCCTAGCAGGATCCCTGGCATTTAGCGAGGCCTCAGCCATCTGAGTTGAATGAATAATTAAAGAAAAGAGAGAGAGAACCTAAATCAGGAGGCCATTCACTCTCTTCCTTGTAGCAAGGACTAAATTAGCCATCTCTCGGAATATGTTTCTATCATCATGTCTTTAAAAAAAACTGTAGAAAGTGAACAAAAATGGCAAATCTTTGTTACCAGCCACGGTTGCTGTTCCTTTGCTTGCCACATAAGCCATTCGTTGCAGTCCCTTATAAAGAGGGGTGTATGAGTCAACGACAGAAAATTTGCAACTTTGGCTTACTAAACCCTCCCCCTGATCACTCTGGGCCATGCCTCTATTAACAGGTGAAAAAAAAATAAAATAAAATAAATAACAGCTGCTGTATTTGTGCCTGGAAGCTGGGTCCGTAAATGGAAGGGAGGATGATTCCAGGTGAGCTTCTAACCTCTTCCCTCCTCTTGCTCAGGTTGCCATCAGCACAATGATTCCCTGCAGGGCAGCCATGACTTTTGCCCGCTGTCTGATCCGGAGAAAGATCGTCACTCTGGACAGTCTAGAAGATACTAAATTATGCCGCTGCTTGTCCACCATGGACCTCATCGCGCTCGGGGTGGGCAGCACCCTGGGCGCGGGGGTCTACGTCCTGGCCGGCGAGGTGGCCAAGGCGGATTCCGGCCCCAGCATCGTGGTCTCCTTCCTCATCGCCGCGCTGGCCTCAGTGATGGCCGGCCTATGCTATGCTGAGTTCGGGGCCCGCGTTCCCAAGACCGGCTCTGCCTACTTGTACACGTATGTCACCGTTGGAGAGCTGTGGGCCTTCATCACGGGCTGGAATCTCATTTTATCTTATGTCATAGGTATGTTTTCAGAATAACCCTAAATTGTGTGGAATGGTAGAAATAGCACTTCCCGGGGCAGAAGCCTCCATGCTCAGCTGCAGGGCTGCATCCTTAGCTACTGGATGATCCCCGGTGGAGCACTCGAGCCCATTGTGTCTCACCCCTGGTGTTTCAAAAAAAATTCTTTATTGCAAATAAAGTTACCCAATTCCACATGATTACTAATATATTCCCACAAATCATCAACATTATTTTATTGTATTGTATTGTCTTTATTTATTCGAGACAGAGTCATGCTCTGTTGCCCCAGGTAGAGTGCGGTGGCATCATCATAGCTCATTGTAGCCTCAAACTCCTGGTTTCCAGCGATCCTCCTGCCTCACCCTCCCCACTAGCTGGGGCTACAGGTGCTTGCCACGATGCCCAGCCAATTTTTCTATTTTTAGTAGAGATGGGGGTCTCGCTCTTGCTCAGGTGGGTCTCGAACTTCTGTAATCCTCCCATGTCAGCCTCCCAGAGTGCTAGGATTACAGGTGTGAGCCACTGCACCTGGCCTCATGATAATTTTGTATGTGATTAAAATAATCTATGTGAACTATCTCATGCTTATCCTAGAATAGAATAACAAACAATGTTATGTTAATTTGCTGCCAGTGACCTTGTTATTATTCTCTGCATGTTCTGTGTTTTGGGAAGGCACGTCAAGTGTCGCAAGAGCATGGAGTGGCACCTTTGATGAACTTCTTAGCAAACAGATTGGGCAGTTTTTGAGGACGCACTTCAAAATGAATTACACCGGCCTTGCAGAGTATCCAGACTTTTTTGCTATGTGCCTTATATTACTTCTAGCAGGTAAGAAAACCCACTGTGCTTCTCCTCATGATAAGCCCAACTAATTGTCCCAGGAAAATAGAATACTTCTGAATTCAGAGCCTGAGTTCTGAAGGTGAGGTCAGCATATTTATACACTAAGGTTACTGTTGGACATCTGTGGGGTTTGTCACTGGCTGGGATCATATTTTATCTTGTGTGATAGGCGTGCTTCAGAATTAAGTCTAAACTGTGTAGAATGGTAGAAATAGCACTTTTGAGTATATGGTACTTGGCATGCCCTAAATAATAGGATGAGGACATTGATTTTGTAACACTATTTGCAGGTTTGCAAAAATGGCAGTGAAGTTTCAATAGAGAAGACTATAATTTCTTGACATCGTGTCATGTTGTTAGGCACAGTGAAGGTTATTTGTAGGTATGCTATTTCTAGGAGAAATTCTATTTTTCTGGCATGCCTTCATCTATGTAATGCAAGCTCCTGATTAAAAAGGAAGCACGTTCAAACCACCTGTCATTTTGTAATGATGACATTACGTAGACAAACATACTTGGCACTGGGAGTTTTCGGTTTTCATCAGAATTGTAGCGTTGTGGTTTAGCAAGGCACAGGAGTTAGAGTCAGAGTGACCAGGCTTTCAATCCTGTTGTGCTGTGCACTGCCTTTGGAACACTGGACAATTTACATAATCTTTCCATTACTCAGCTTGCTCATCCACAGGGTGAGGTTATCAGTGTGTGTGTACCTCATACATTCTTCTTGCTTGGTACATAATATGCACTCGGATAGCCAGATTTATTTTATGAGCATAGCTAATCCCCTCTGTCTCTTTATATTTTTTTAAAATTATTTGAACATTTTCTATTTTGATTGTCATTCTTACCTGTAGTCCCGCTTAAACCCATCAAAGATTGTACCAAGAGTAAAATGCATGTCTTTTCCTACTTCCTACCTGCTTTACCCTGGGCAATCTGTGCCTTTCTTTTCTGGCCAAGCTTATCTCTATTTTTCTTTCTTGGTTAGGAAGCTGAGACAGAAAGATATGAAAATGAAATGTTTACTTGCAAAATTGTATAATGTTAAAAATAGCTTTACCCTTTGAAAAATTAGTTGTTCATTAAATGTTTTTATAGGGATAGTGATAGGAACGTGAACAACATTTTTAGCTCTAAAAATTTGCAAACTTTTGCATTCTGCTTCTAACATCAAAAATTGCACCCATTGTTTTTCAACAAAAGAGAAACTTTTGTTGTTTTTGGTTTCTAAACAGCCTAGCTAACATTAAATTAATTATATCCTATTTTGTTTAGGGACAGTTTCAATGAACTAAAAATATTCAGCTTTAATCTTTAAACTATAAAAACCATGTAACTATGACATGGTTACAGTCATTATATTCCATGGCAAGACTTAGGCCAGGGCCTGTGTCATTTTTTCTGTGTTCATTCACTGTCATTTTTTTCATTTTAATATAGGGTAAGCTTACATTATAACTTTGTTCTGAGAATCTTCAAAGATTAAAACCCGCATTATGAATCACCATTCATATTGTAATGCCAAATGTCTTGTCACCCAAAGCTATCATTTTCTTAGAGATACACAGGAAGTGTATGCAGTATTTAAAACTGTTGGTAGGAGATGAATTCTCAGAGTGCATGTGAGATGTTGGGAAACTTAGATAAAATATGACAGTGGCTTTGTTATTCCCCAAGGTGTGTAACAGTGGTTCCTAACCTAATATCCAATTACACAGTCAGGAATTGTGCTGGCCATACAACTTTACTTTATGTCATTAATACAGTTATATTACTATAGGATTCTGGGAAATCATACAGGTAGAAGAATGAAATTCAATTTCTTTCATCTCTGGAAATTTCTGCTTATTTGATGGTGGGTGGAATAGATATGGGGAAAAAGCAAGTAAATCTTTGGCATAATCTTTTCATAACAATTGTTTCCCCAGTGGTGAAAGATAAACTTTCTTAGGTCCATAATTCACATCTTATGCCACATGGATTAAAGGTATAAATATGATTAATATGATCATAAAAATACTAGAAGAAAACAAAGGTTAATGTTTAAGGAAAAATCATTTTAAAGGTAGAAACTATAGAAAAATGTAAAGATGATTCTAATAACTTTCCTACATATGTATAATCCACATTAAAAGCAAATGATCAACTGGGCAAAATATATGCTGCACATGACAAATAGAGAGCTTATAGCATTAATGTATAAATAAATCTTCTGAATATGAACAGAATACCCTAATAGAAAAAATGGGCAATTTAAATTGGGGCCAAACTTTCTGGAGAATATTTTGACAATCTGAACCAAATGCGTTGTGCAAAAGTGCATACCCTCTCATACAATGTTACTGTGCAGAAAATTATTGTAAAGAAATACTTAGAAAGTATAGAAAGATATTTATCAAAGGGTGATTATGTCAGTGCTGCTTATAATTGTAAGAGACTAAGAGTGATCTAATTCTCTATAAATAAGAGATTAAAGTATGGTGCCTCAATATAGCAGAGGATGATGCAGTTGTTAAAAATAAGGTCATATAATGGCTCTCATGAAAATATGTTTATGTGTTTTTTTTTTGTTTTTTTTTGAGACAGAGTCTCACTTTGTTGCCCAGGCTAGAGTGAGTGCCATGGCGTCAGCCTAGCTCACAGCAACCTCAATCTCCGGGGCTCAGCGATCCTACTGCCTCAGCCTCCCGAGTAGCTGGGACTACAGGCATGCACCACCATGCCCGGCTATTTTTTGTATATATATTTTTAGTTGGTCAATTAATTTATTTCTATTTTTGGTAGAGACGGGGTCTCGCTCAGGCTGGTTTCGAACTCCTGACCTTGAGCAATCCGCCCGCCTCGGCCTCCCAAAGTGCTAGGATTACAGGCGTGAGCCACCACGCCCGGCCTGTTTATGTGTTTTTATGTGCAGAATTCTGGAGGAGAGACTACAGTTGATCTTTATCTTCTTTGTACTTCTTTGTATTAATTCTGCAAATTGCTTGAATAGGAAATAAATTACTTTTACAATCAGAATGTAGAAAAGCTATTAAAATGAGAATAGATTTAACAAAGCACTTTTTAGCACAATGGAAGAATTAGTTTTGTCTGTATGTTCAGTAAATACATGGCAGACATATGTTTGAGCTTTTACTTAAAATAGTTCACAACCATAAAATTCGAAATGGTTTTTTAGAACAGCAGTTCATTAAAATTGTTACTTTAGACATACCTATCATGGGTAATAATGGTCAAAGTTACTAGATTGATGTGTTTCTTACAAAATGTGGTATCTTCTGACTCTGAGCACGATCTGCCCTCTAAAATCAAATTGGTTGTGTTCCAGAAGAAGTATTTTCGTGATTAGGTGACTAATGAGTAAAAACTGGCAACAGAAATGGGTGGATGGGAGTTAAATAAATGAATGCTGATGAAATCATATCCGAAAGCCCTCTATTTGCCTCACGATGCCATTGCCTTTCCTAAAACTTAGGTAAAAAATTAAAATATCCTTTCCTTTCTTTTTCCATAGGCCTTTTATCTTTCGGAGTAAAAGAATCTGCTTGGGTGAATAAAATCTTCACAGCTGTTAATATCCTGGTCCTTCTCTTTGTTATGGTTGCTGGGTTTGTGAAAGGAAATGTGGCAAACTGGAAGATTAGTGAAGAGTTTCTCAAAAATATATCAGCAAGTGCCAGGTACGATATCTGATTTTCGTTCCCCTCCTCTCTCTTTTTTAATGTTACATTTTAAAAGCGCGTAGGTGAAAATTTTCGTCTATAACATGCTTCCTAAACTTTTTGCTTTTGAGACCTTTCTTAGGGGCTGTTCCATTCTAAATACTCCTCTCCCTGTGCTCCTTCCAGACACAAGGGTTTGGAAGGCTGGGGTTCCAGCCAGAGGGGGTCTGAGCCGTCTGCACATGCTATGGATCAAGCTCTAATTGGGTATTGTTGACACAAGAGGGTCATTGTTAGGGACACCACCACATTCCCCAGGAGGGGATGAAAGAATAAGGTTTTAGTTTTATATACACCAGCTTCAAAGGGCTGATGAATACAACAGCCTTTCCAGGACATAGTTTGTGATAAATCACCAGAAGGAACAGTTGCCTATGAAAATGACTTTCCATTGTGTTTGTTCTCTTCCTCAGAGAGCCGCCTTCCGAAAATGGAACAAGTATCTATGGGGCTGGTGGCTTTATGCCTTATGGCTTTGCAGGAACTCTGGCTGGTGCTGCGACTTGCTTTTATGCCTTTGTGGGATTTGACTGCATTGCAACAACTGGTAAGAGTGGCGTCTTGGTTCTGCATAGAAGGGAAAGGAGTTCCTTGTCCCACATGCGTACTGATGGGTGACAGCCAGAGGGTCAAGGAAAGGGAGAGGGATTTGGGGTAAGAAGGGCACTAGCTCCAGACCCAGCTGTGATACCTACTGTATATGCTCAAGAAGAAACTTAGCGAAACTCTCTGGGCCTTGGTTTCCACATTGGTAGATTTGGGAGAGCAGTACCTACTCCTCAGATATGATGAAGATTACCTAAAATAATACATAGGAAAAATACTGGCCGGGTGCGGTGGCTCATGCCCGTAATCCTAGCACTCTGGGAGGCCGAGGCGGATGGATCACTCAGGGTCAGGAGTTCAAAACCAGCCTGAGCAAGAGCGAGACACTGTCTCTACTAAAAATAGAAAGAAATTAATTGGCCAACTAAAATATATAGAAAAAATTAGCTGGGCATGGTGGCGCATGCCTGTAGTCCCAGCTACTCAGAAGGCTGAGGCAGTAGGATTGCTTGAGCCCAGGAGTTTGAGGTTGCTGTGAGCTAGGCTGATGCCAGGGCACTCTAGCCTGGGCAACAGAGTGAGACTCTGTATCAAAAAAATAAAAGAAAAAAAAGAAAAATACTTTGCAACCTATTGACTACTTTATAAATGTTAGTCATAATTATTATCCTTAACCTTCCATCTGGAAGTGCTGTTGCAGTGAATAACAAAGGATGGTCATGTTCTTAAATTGTTTCTTCTTTAGTTGGACAAAATAAATCATGCCAATTCTTTCCTCTTTACCCTTTACAACAAATAATCATGCCAGAATCACTCTCTGGGTGCTTCTTGTGGGTTTATATCATTGTGTGACCTTATAATTGACCATGGTTTGGGTCCTTCAAATGCTAAATCTTACTAAGAGGTTACTGATTTTTTAAAAATTGAAAGTAGAGTTTTGTATAAATAGATGAAATAAGTTAATGTGAAGGCTCCATATTTAAGGGCCTAAAGAATGCCACAGCAGTTGTGTAATCTCTGTGGGTGAATCATTCTCCAAATGGATCCAGACTGCTAGCCTATCCCTATACACTTCATATTGCTGGTATGTTACAGGGTTTTTTGTTTTTTGTTTTTGCCTGGAACCAAAAAACTGACTTGTGTGACTCTTCCTTCTCTTCTTCCTCTGGAAATTAGATTTTTATGCAATAGCAAGGTGCTTTCAAGAAGAAAGGAAATTTCATATAAAATAGATGGATCAAGCTAAGGAAACAGAAGGGACAAAGAGAAGAATTATCATGGAGAAGAGGAAGAATGCCATACAAAATAAGTTCTTTACCTATGAGTGTTGTATTACACATGGCAAATCTTTTGTTTATTTTTCCTTAGGTGAAGAGGTCCGGAATCCCCAGAGAGCTATTCCCATTGGAATCGTGACTTCATTGCTTGTTTGCTTTATGGCCTATTTTGGGGTCTCTGCAGCTTTAACGCTTATGATGCCATATTACCTCCTGGATGAGAAAAGTCCCCTTCCTGTGGCATTTGAATACGTAGGCTGGGGTCCTGCCAAATACGTTGTGGCCGCTGGCTCCCTCTGCGCCTTGTCAACAAGGTACATTGCGTTGCCTTTGGGGGACAGGGGCTGTTTGGGTTCCTACGAAATGTAGTCAGTGTCTAAAAAATTGCCTTTGTATGTTTTTAAAATATCCTAATATAAAGGAGTATATTATGCAACTATGTGTTCGATGGATTTGTGTTCAGATTACTCAAAATGGCCATATATCCTAGATCTGGTTTGGTAAAAAAAAAAAAAGAATTGCCATATAAAAATCTTAAGCGTTTATAGAAAACTACCTGCCCCCACATCAGTTAAGAGTCAGTTTTTCAAGATAATGATGGTTCAAGCTTCAGTAGAAATATATACGGCATTGGTACGCATACACATACACACACACACACATTCATCACACATATTCACATACATGTATATTATAAAACTTTAGGGTGTTTATCCTGATATGCTGCTTCACTGGCTTTGGTGTGACTCACAGTGCTACAGCCATCCTGTATCAGACCATATGTGCAGACTTACCTTAGCTGCTGTCTGTTCAAGCAATACTGCGTCCGTGTGCATGGAAGCCATGTGCTGTGTCTTTTTTTATATATAATGTGTTTTTTTATTGGGAAATTCTGACAGTTTTTCCTCTCACCACCAATCAGAGTGAACTTGATTTCAATGAGTGAAACTAGAAATCAGTGAGTGAACTAGAGTGAACTAGAAATCAATGTCTTGATTTCTAGACATTTCTGTCTAGAAACAGAAATGATCATTTGTAATGGTGGAAATTCGCTCAAAATCTATGTGAAAAGAAAAAGGTAGTTGGATCTCAAATGTTCAGATTTTCGGTAGCTGCTAGTTTTAATACATTAGAGCTCATTTCTCACGTTTCCCAAGCTACTTATTTGAAATGAACATAGGATCATAAGCAAGGTATTTCATTCTAGGGTTGTACTGGGCCATATGATAGAATATTCGTACAAAGGGAAAATTAATCTTTTTGCCTGATCACGTATTTTATTAAAGGGAAAGTAATTTTCTGAAAGTCTGAAATTAAACAAAGAAATCTTTTAATATAATTCATTAACCCTAACTTATTTTTTCCCTCTAAGTCTCTTTTATTCTCTAGTCAAGATAATATTAAGTAGCAATTAGACCCTATTGGTTTCTCAGTCATCTTCTAGTGTTGAGGTTTATTGTGAATAGCTTCAAGTAATTACAGAAATCTGAACTGTGACAGTACCATGCTACCATGGCCTTAGAAGGGATGGACAAAGATTCATTTGTAGCCAAGCTGAACCCAGCCTTATTAAAAAACAGAGAAAATGGATTTCTAAATAAAAATATTTTACTTGTTTTCTCTTAAATCATTATTTCTCACAACTAAGTAATATATGGAATGGTGTAGCCAGTAAACAAAAGTATTTCCAACATCTTAAGCAAAAATTGTCATACTAAACGTCACTGTTACTTTCAATTGTGGTAACTTCTGTGTACTAAATTTACTATAAGATGATCTTTTTTACGTTTGCTTACATTGATTATCATATCATGCTGGAAATTATTACCAATCTGATCAAAGATCAGGCTATATGAAAAAAATATTGGTAAAATAAATACAAAAAGCATATAATTATAAATAATTGTTACTATGAAATAAATTTGCTTAATCTCTTCTTTAATTACATATCAATTAAGGAATTTTATTTTCTGAATTATTGCCGTTAAAAATATCTTAATGAAATTGTTTCTTTTTTTTTTTTTTGGTAAATTCTTAATTACTTAGTTTTAATTCTGTAATAATTGTGTACATACACAGATTACTTGCAGTATTGTTTTTAGTCTGATAATTTTGCTGGGAATATATCTGCAGCAGAATAATGAGTAGCACAATATTTGTTAAAATATTAGCAAATATTTTTAAATGCCCATTCGTAGTGCATTTAAAAAATAGTAATACTTCATAATCACAACTGTTATGCTGAATTTTATATAATTACTTTATTTCAATTCTGGAATGTAACCTTGCATGAATGTGTTTGCCATACTGCATGTGTTTGCTTTTTATTCAGTCTTCTTGGATCCATTTTCCCAATGCCTCGTGTAATCTATGCTATGGCGGAGGATGGGTTGCTTTTCAAATGTCTAGCTCAAATCAATTCCAAAACGAAGACACCAATAATTGCTACTTTATCATCAGGTGCAGTGGCAGGTGAGAGAGAGTTGACTTTTATTATGAAAAGGGGGATCTTGGTCATCCAGGACTCTGGAAAAAGTAGAAAGGTGGTTTTCTGTTATGATGTACGTAAAGTCCAGTACCTTTTTTGAGAATGTTTCCTATTTTGAATTGTTTTGGTTCTGCACTTTAGTGTGTACTTTGCCTGTATATATCTTTCTAGAAGAATACTTAAGATAACTTACATGTGGCTTATGAATTTTTCTGTTCTAGTCTTATGGGCTCTATGTTTCCTTTACCCCGAATTATGTTTGCGATGGCCCGGGATGGTTTACTATTTAGATTTCTTGCCAGAGTGAGTAAGAGGCAGTCACCAGTTGCTGCCACGTTGACTGCAGGGGTCATTTCTGGTAAGCTTTACAAACATAGGCTTCTTCAGCATTGGACTGGAACATTCTATTCGCATGCGTGGACTGATAAATAGGGTCTGCATGCTATGCATGTAAGTTAAGAAAAAAAATCACTGATTAATTAGCATATGAGCATTGGGATTAACATCTGAAAATCCTGGTGGTGATGGTGTACTGAAAGTTCATTCTTAATTGACCATTTGGGGATTCTTTTTTTACTGTTTTGTTATTTGAACCTTTTGGGCTTCTAACAGATGTGCAAAGGGTTGTAATGGGTCTTCACTCAATACCATGCATTGCTTTTCCAATGAAAAAAACTAGCACATAAAATGCTATTAATTGATGCATAAAATTGTAATTAAAGCATTTATTATTTAATTTTTGACATATTAATGTTAAAATAATTATTTGATATTTTCTTATTTTGTCCAGGGTATAAGTTGAATATTGCTAAAGGACTAGGATTTTTGAAAAGCTGTTACCCATTCTTAATTAAGTATAAGAAATGTCAAAGATAATTTATACCTGGCCTTTGTAATCACTGCCCTCCGTGTGGTGGGTGTCCCTCCTTCCTGGGCCATCATGGTCCTTGAAGAGTTACTGACACATATGTCCTCTCCAACCCCATTGGGAATCTGTTTTTCCTTCCAGCAGTTTTGGTACTTATGTTGTGTTCAGAAAGTCCAGATTGCCTACATCTTGGCACATCTTAACATCCGTATAAAATGCCTTTGGCCAGATTCTTACTCCATGCAGAAATGGCGAATCTCTTCAGAGAGTCTATAGATCAAGAGAATGTGGCCTTAAAGATCATGTTAGAGGAAGCCAAAGAAAGACTTTAGCAAGCTTTAGAGATAAAATGATAAACCGTCTTGGCAGTAGAAATCCTGGCCAAAATGATAATTTTGTGGAGACTCTGAACTGTTGGGAAATTAGGTTAGAGAAAGGTAATGCTTCATTATGTATAAGATGGGCTGTTTTTAAGGTCAGAAAGTATTTGTCTAAACAGTTCATTTTGTAAGCATTCTCTGATAAATTTGGCACTTTATTAGACATATGTTGGGAGGTCAAATCAATTATTTTCTCACACTTAGTTTCTGCCTCCCGTAAAATGAAGGTTTTGCTAAATGATCTCAAGCCCATTTTATTATTAAACAATACATTATGATATTAAAGATAGTCTTGCCAAAGGACCACTCATCTTATTTAATGCATAAAAACTTATTTTTTCCCAGTTAAAAAAAAAAACTTGCCTAGTAATACTCTATATTTCAGAATTTATCCTTCTGCTTTATTTGGGAAGAATTTAATTTGGCACTATAGTAAGATATTAAAATTAATAATTAAAAGAAGGTCATTATAATAGACCACTTTTTAAAAATACTCTAAAATATTTTTTGTAGTTTTGTACTCCCATACCTCACTTTCTTTGTTTTTAACTTAGATCAGAGAGCTTGTATGAATAATTCATTATTTTCTTCCCTCGTGGCTACCTTATTTGGCTCTCTGTGATTCTTAAAAAAAAAAAAATTACTGAAATTTTAATAATCTAATACATAAGTGTACTAGCAATGAAGAGTTTTCAAAGTGAAGCATGCAGTGTATTTAAACAAACAGTGTGATACTGCAGAAGTAGTAGAAAGACCCTCAGGATGTTGGTTGAGGTGGAACTCTGTGTTTACCTAGTACTTGTAGCCTTGCTAAATTAGCCTGTCTATAAAATGGGCATAATCCTATTAGATTAAACCATGTGAAATTGCTGGGGTTTTTGGTCAAAAATAGTCAAGTACCAGCCATTTTATATGGCTAAAACTAAATAATAGCCCATCTCATAGGATCGTTGACTTGAAGATAAAATGAGATCATTGAGTTCATAGAGAGATCTGGAATACCATATAAATGGAACACAGTATCTACTTACAATGATAGGGAAAACTATGTGGTAAATTCAAGTCAATATTATCACTACTTTGATGTTTCAATGGAGAAAACAATAGCTAAGTACAAGTTGTATTATTTAACTGTTTGAAGTATATTTTGCTTTTTAACATTATCTCGATTTGGTGTGCAGGACTATAAATTGATTTCTCAGATATGGTCAGTCTACCTGGAATGGGCGGTTTTAATCATAGTAGAATTTAGCCTGCATCCACAGCATAACTTAATTGAAAATTATTTTATTTTACTTTTTCAAAATGAAGATAATTTTGAGTTGTCTATGCTATAACTCATAATGCATATGGGAATTTAAATGATTATATAACATCCACAATGAAAGCCCTTTCTGTTCTAATGTTTTTGGCTAGCTAACGTTTTCTAGCAAGGTTTTTCTTCTGAAACATCAAAGGACAGTATTCTGTCATATAATATTTTCACTCTTTGTCAGGCCAAATATTTTTTAAGTAATCAAGTAGAATGTGCTTTGTACTTACTAGAGAGCTGAGGGCTTTTTAAGTCTGATTAACAGTAGGACCTAAAGAACATCTTACTGTGAGAGAGATATTTTTCTATACTTTGTTTAACTTATCCTTGGTACTAAAACAAAACATCTGTCAGTTGTCCCTGACTTGAAAGTTATTAACTGTATGCAGTTTCATCCTGGGCCATTCACTTCACTTTCTTTTGTTTTCCCGATAGCTGTGATGGCATTTCTGTTTGACCTGAAGGTGCTCGTGGACATGATGTCCATTGGCACGCTCATGGCCTACTCCCTGGTCGCAGCCTGTGTTCTCATCCTCAGGTGAGTTGCCAGGTGGTTCTGCAGGGTGTGCCATGTAGGGCAGAGGGAGTGAAGAAAGTGAGCACTAACCATCCTTGCTTTCCAGGAACTAACGGTCTCACCAAGGTGAGGCCGGGTCCATGGAAACATCCATGGGAGTGCAAGAAGCATACTTGGTTCTTTGCAAAGAATCAAATACAGTTTGATCATGAATGACAGGTTGGCCTACTCTGTGTGACAGGCAACTTCTCATGTTGTGTAAAGACACTTAAAAGTACTATACTTTTTGTCTCAGTAATTCAACTGCTAAGATTTTATGCTAAAGATTTAATCAGAGGCACACACAGATGTATGTAAAGGATCTTTATAGAAAAGGTAAATTACAATAGTGAAAAAAAAAAATGGAACTAACCTGAATATCAGTCAACAGGAGGGTGGTTAAATAAATGAGGATACAGGTATTTCTGGACACTTCAGTGAATAAAATGATATTTAATTATACAGAGAAATATATCAGTTTCAGAATACAAAGCTACAGTATATATAGCATGAAGTTATTTAACCAGAGTTTCTGTGCTGCTTTCATGAACCTGTGGGCATAGATAATTTCAGAATCATCATCCTGTTGTCACGGTTGCCTCCCTCTAAAATTTAACTTTCTTCTGCATCTAATATATAACTTCTTAAATTAAGTGGCTGCAGGTCATTGGAAAGGTCAGTGGCCTGGCTCAGCACGTTCTGGGGCTGGAGGCATGAGAAGTATTGATTTACCAGCACACGCTGTGACTCTGTGAGGCGTCCTACTTAGAGTTGTAGGTGCTTGTTTCATTTGGGCCAGTGTCTATTGGAGATTAAAGACACAAACATTTATTTGGGGATAGGTACCAGCCCAGCTTATCTTACGAGCAGCCCAAATATTCTCCTGAGAAGGAAGGTCTGGAAGCATGTCCCAGCGCCACCTCGAAAAGCGAGTCCCAGGTCACCATGCTGCAAGGACAGGGGTCCATCCTGCAGAGCCTCTTCAACCCCTCCCTTCTGCCTACGCAGCAGTCGTCTTCTCTCGTGAGCTTCCTGGTAGGATTCCTGGGTAAGTCTTTCTCCCTGTATCCGCCGTAAAGACCCAGAAGACGTGAGTAGGTGGAGCTGGTACAGTGCGAGAGGGGACAGAGGGTCTCCTATTTCCCTGGAATGTGTTAGGAACCAACCCGAACCCTGAAATTGCCACCTAAAGAGTCACTAGTAGTTGAGATCGTCTTTGTACCAGCAGGATAAGTTGATCATATCTCGACAATTGAAAAAGAGAGGAAGAAATTCCCCAAGGTGGGAGTGGCAGCAGGACAAGCTGGCCCATGTCATCAGCTGTCAGGGTGCTCTCTGTGGAAGCACCAGGCCAAGTACACCTGCACCAGTGACTGAACTGGAACCCGATGGGATTGGGGGGCAATGTAGACATTCCTTGTTTTCCCACCCGCAGTTACACAATGAGTCATATTTTCAGCAACGTTTATTGAGCATCATCTATGTGCCAGGCACCTTGCTAAGCAGTGGGGAGATCGAGAGAGCCGGTCGGTCCTTGCTCTCACTGGGTCTACAGGACAGAATTGTTGGTGACAAGCAAGTGCAGGTTTCTCCCAGGGCAGATAGGTGGGGCCCCTCACACAGATGTGATGGTCAGAGGTAGGCTGAGTGGGTGCTGATATCATTCCTCTGCAACAGAAAGAAAAGGTGCAGAGCATGTGGTATCATTAATATACATTTACAGCAGCCTAAAATAGACAGACTTGCCATTTCCCATTGGAAAGAAAGGGAAGTGTCCACCCCGGTAGCATCCCATCCATCATGTGATAGAGCCTGAGGGTGACAAATGAGGACGCAGGTGGCACACAGGCAGGTAGAGCAAGATGGCAGCACCACGAACGAGGCTGACTTCTAAGGAGGGGAGAGTGATGAGTAAGCTGGATGAGTGTCCTAAATCGGCGAAATCTCCAATTCCACCGTGGAATTTCTTTCTGCGATGAAAAAGAAGAAAGGTCGTCAGGGAGAATCTTCGCATTTGGCAAAATAGATACGTAAAGACCTTGAGGTTTGAACGGGGCGACCTGAGTTGAGCGCGTGTGCTGACCTTGCTTTATGTCCTTGTCACCCTGGCAGCGTTTCTCATCCTGGGCCTGAGTGTCCTGACCACCTACGGGGTTCCGGCCATTGCCCGGCTGGAGGGCTGGAGCCTGGCTCTCCTCACGCTCATCCTGCTGCTCTGCGCCGCCGTGGTCCTCGCCATCTGGAGGCAGCCCCAGAACCAGCAGAAAGTGGCCTTTATGGTACGTGTGGTGAGGATGAGAGATCTGCAGCATTCCGTGCACCTTCTCTGTAGGTTCGTCTGGGGAGTTGTTTCCAGAAAAAAAAAAAAGAAAAAGAAATCTTCTGCCGAAGTTAACCAGTGAATGAGAGTGTCAGAATCCTTTGACATGTTCCTTGTGGTCACCGTGTCCTCCCTACGTTGGGTGTCTTACTGCCTTTGTCAAAAACTTGAGTATGATCCCATCACAGGAGTATTATGTTTATTAGTATGCAAATTTCTTGTTATATAATCTGTTGTATTCATAACAGAAAAATAAGCAGAATATCTTATTTTTAGAAATCCAGTGCCCTTTCGTAAGGTTTTATCCTGCAAGTTGAAGTTATCCTGTCCCAGTTGAACTCAGAGCAGGTTTTGGCTTGAAGAGGGCTTCCTGGAAGTACCCGCTGGCATACACGTGTGTCCAGAGTTCTGGAGGCTTGCCATGTTGATGGCCGAACTGAGCCAGTAAACCCCAAATGAAACTAAACCCCAGAACCAATGTTACCTTGATGATGATGCAGGTGTTAGCAGGTTGAAAAAATCTCCTATTGCCCTAAGCTTCAGTAAATAAAATGGGATTCTCCTTTTGGTGATCTCTGGAAGCATGGTTTTTGTTCCGATTGCCCTTTTTGCAGGAATATACAGTTACTGACATAGTGTGAAAGTATGTATGTCAGATTAATTGCCATCATGTTGAAATAATTGGGGGAACGTGTTTTCAAAACGTGAATACACACTAAAGGATCGTTTTCCACCTTAGGTTCCATTCTTACCATTTTTGCCGGCATTCAGCATCCTGGTGAACATATACCTGATGGTCCAGTTGAGTGCGGACACTTGGATCAGATTCAGCATTTGGATGGCACTTGGTAGGTCTTCTAAGGTGTTAGCTTCCCGAACTCTGGCCCTCTCTCTCTCCTGTTCACGTGTTGTGATGAGAGAAATGCATCCTCTTCCCCATCCTGGAAATAAAGGCTTTGTATAGTTTTTTCCTTTCCCAATGCTTAAAACATCTAAGTGCTACCTTTCCAAGGTGTTTTCAGATAGCTTTTTTAATTCAAATCTCCCAATAATCCTGTAGAACCACATAGGTTCTATTTTTCTCCAACTTGCAAGTGAGAAAAATGAAGCCCAGAAAAAGACATTTTATATCAACCCAAAACTCTCAACCAAATTTCTAAAATAAAGCTACAGCACAGCAAAATGCCTACATTTAACTAATTATCTTAAGAGGGTACCTAACACATTGCCTCCTAATCCGCACACAATCAGCGTGGCTGTCAATCAGCAGTTGCTTTTTCACAGTTCTTTAGCCTCTCCTGGCGACAGTGACATGTATGAGTCATGTCCATGTCCCCTTTGTCAATCCAGGGCATGCCTTCTAAAATATCTGGCCATGACTCTGATTCTCCACTACTTGTGTTCAGGATGTGGTTTGAGACTTTATCCCATTTGTCGTTTTGTTGTTTTGAGACCATAAATATAATTTTTTTTTTCTGTATAAACATTGTCAAAAAACTTGTTAAGAGAAAAACATATTCTATAAAGTTGGGATCTTAAAAATGAAGAAGCACATTCTACCAAGAAAACATTTATCAAGGAGCCCTTCTGTGGGGTATCTTGTGTTTACATTTTAATCTTCTAAAATAGCACAGGCAGAGAAGACTAAAAACCCTATCAAGTTCTGTATTAAAATTTGCACATTAAAACAGTCATCTCCTGACACACCTTGAAACATTGATTTTTTTTTTCCCCCTTCCCCAAAAGGTTTCGTGATTTACTTTGCTTATGGCATTAGACACAGCCTGGAGGGTAATCTGAGAGATGAAGATGATGGTGAAGATGCTTATTCAGACGACATTAATGCAGCAACAGAAGAGAAATCTGCCATTCCAGCAAATGACCATCACCAAAGAAATCTCAGTTTACCCTTCATATTCCATGAAAAGACGAGTGAATGCTAATGCTGGCAGGAGCTGAGCTGGTCACGGTCTTAACATACATATCCTACATTGAGTAAACCATGACAGGATGTCATCATCATGCTAGGTCGTCATGGGTGCTGCACACATAGTTCACCCTGAGTAGTACTTACTCATCTGGACAGCATCTCCCCAGATGGTGAATTATGTGCCCGGGAAACCTGAGCTCTTTCCTCCGTGATGAGTATCCCCCAAATAGTGGGAGTGTGTGTGTGTGCGTATGTATGGGTGTATACGTTTGGGAACATGAATGTTCGAAGTGAGTTGGTATTTTGCTATTACTGTGTTACATTTTTTTTCAGTGTTGTCATTCATCAATGGCATATACTGCACATCCTGAAATAGAGGTGAATCCCCGAATAGAAAAGCTTTGTTGGCGGCCCCGCTAGTTGAAGACATAGTGGTCGCTCTTCCATATTAGGCTTCATTCATGTCCATTTCGAGCATGCTAAAAATGCAGCTACCCATCACGGTGTCATGGCGTCTGTCACTGGTCAGAGGTGAGAGGAAGGGGTAAGGATGGAGCCTTTTCTGGAAGTTGTAAATGCCAACAGTGGGCGTGGTACAGATTGTTTTTTTTTTTTTCCTGTGGGGTAGGATAGTTTGCTAAAACTTTAGCCAACTGGAGTGTTAGCTTGTGTCATAGTACATGGATAGGAGTAGAATTCCATGTCACCAGCTGCCATGCCTTGAACTCTTGTCTTTGAGATCAGTGGTCCTCATCGATGAGACCTTCCCCTACTGTGAATGATGTGCCCCTCAGCCCACTCAGGGACTTGAGAGAGGTGCTGTGATCTCCTTGGGACCCTTTAGACTAAGCAGTAAAGGTTTTCTCCTGGGCCAGAGAGCTCGTGTGAGTGGCCACAGTGAAGATCTCAGAGTAGAACACATGCTTGCATAAATAGACACCAAGCATCCTTTTTTAAAAAGTCACTTAAAATTTTAAGCCAACACACCCTCCCAGAGCACACAGTTGGTGGAATGATTCATACCTTTACCATGACTTATTAACTAAATCACAGTTCAGGTTTTGTTAACTTCACCAGGCAGAGTTCACTCCTGTGTTGCTGTTTTTGTTTTATCTCGCCCTGGATGTGAGCAGCTACCACAGCAAATTCTTATCTTTACTACACACAGAAGAGGTAAAGATGAAGGAAGATTAAGAAAATTCCCCTATTCTGATATATATTAAAGTGCCCAGTCAGATGTTACGGGACATTTGGCCCAATTTAAGGGGCTCAGATCTAATTTGCCTCTGACGTTTCTTTTGGAAACATTTGGGGGTGTTTTTTTTCCTCTTCCCTGCCCCCTACAAATTGTTGAGCACTTTTTATTCCTTTTACTTTTAAATGACCACACTAAGCCTGTGAATACAAGCTCCAGTATTGTGCAATGATCCAGCAATGGTTGGGGAAGCAAATAATTTGGTTGACATTATTTAAAACTTCAAGCTAAAAAATTAACCAAATGGAATTAAAGCTCTCTGGACACAGTAACCTTTGTATATGAGTAAATAAATTTTTATATGTAAGATTTTCTAATTGCTCTATCTTACTTTTTTGGGCTCTGTAACAATGGACTATTTATCTGTAGTGTGTTTTACTTCCCATCAATTATTTTTTGTACAAATAATTAAACAGTTCACTAGATGAGGCCAGAGGCTCGACATGGGTATGTGGGTGACATTTCCAGGACACCATGGCGAACATTACCAAGCATGCTAGTTGACCCGCATCATCCAAAGGCAAGGAGAGCGTTGGTTTTTTTCCCCTTGTAGTTCCAAGAGGTCGGTTATTTTGTTGATGCCATTAAAAAGCAATTGTTTTGAATAGCCAAGAGTTTATTGTGACTAAATGTCACACGAGCAGGTAGAAAGCCTGGGTTTCTGGCTGCTAGTGTTGTAGCATCCCTGACACAGAACTCATCACTGACATTCCACAGTTTCCAGGGTGCGCGTGGTAAAATCTGAAGCCCAGAATTCTCTTTCAAGCTGCACGTTTTCCTGGAGAAGGAGTTGGGAAAGCAAGGAGTAAAATATTTTTGTAAGGACTGTAGGCACAATCATGAATCCTTGCTGTCACAGCAGGATCCTGAGAACCCCTTTTATTCCAGAAGCTAGAATAGGGCCCTTCACACAGGGAACGTGAGCAAGTTCATATATGAATATTTAAATCTTTAACAAAACCAAGAAATGTGTTTAGAGTGTGATAGGCAGCTAAAGCTATTATACCTACTGTGTTCAGTTAGAAGCAGAATTTAGTTAAAAGTTATTTTTCCACCTTAAAGTACTTTGCAAGCACAAATATCATGAAAAGATGCTTTGGCAGTGACTGCATTTTTTTTTTTCCTGTGAAGACTCAAATGGATGCATGTGTTTGTAAACACAGTTACATATGTATGTGTGAGTATACATGTGTGTGTATGTGTGTGTGTGTGTGTGTATTTCAAAGGTCAGTGTATAAGTAAGTTGCGTTCATGATGGGCTTTGGATATGATATCTATGTGGGTAAAAAAAAAAACAGCTATTGTGGAGAAAAATTAATGTTTTATGTTGATAGATATGCTTATACAAATTTTTTAGGTTTTAAACTATTTTAAAACATATAGCAATTTTATATGTATATTTTCCATAGATAGATTCCTTAAGAATATTTATAATGTTTCTAATATGAAATCACTAAACCCTAGTGCATATAACAGGTGCTTTATAATCTGAAATGGAGTGGGGGCAGCAAACATTTGGATATTACTGTTTACTTGTTTCTGCGACACTTTCTCTGACTTATCTGTCCTGGTCTGTGTTTCTTAGTCAAAGCCAGTACTACTAGCTCTTTGGCACTTCTCTATTCCTACCTTTGAATTCATCATCTTTTGAACAAAAATGTTGTTTTTACTTTCTTAGAATTATCAAAATGTTTTGTGTAGATTTGACTAGTGGTCCGTCAAACTTACATAACGTCATCTTCGGAAATTAAAGAATACATATGCACATTCTTTTATCATAATAATTGTGATTGAGTAAAAGCAGCTTAAATTGCTTTCCTTTTTTACCCTCAGAAATACATTTTCAACCTTGTTAGTGAGAACTTCTCATACTAGCACCTTAATTTTATACGCTCAAAAAAAGAGAATGACTTGTGAATTAAGGCCTAAAGGCAATGCTATTTATGAGGAAAACTTATGTTGGAACCTTTGAAATATACTAAAATGCAGATTATCTTAATCACACTTTCCTCAGAGATAAACATCAAAAAAACTAAGACTAAAACATCATTTGAGACATACGTAGCTGGATAGATACAAAAGAAAAAGTAATGTTGAAATACAGAACTTTACTATAACCAACCATAATTGATAGAAAATATCATTTGCAGGATTATCTTCTTTTAGAAGATAACAGCCTCTCTTCTTTTAATTTTTATGAATAAAGGATTTTTTAATTTAAACATTAGCCAAAATATTTCCAAAGTCCTGGGTGTTTGCAGGTGGTTGTTAAATTTGTTTTCAATAAAACACTTTGAATATTTTGGATTAGAGTCTATTTTTATCAAATTATTTTCTAAATTGTCCCAAGACTACAAACCCCAGGATGAAACTATGCCAAGATTCCCACTCTCCCTTCCCTGTGCTTTATTTATTGGTTTCTCCTGATATGTTTCAAGTGATTGTTAGTTAACACCAAAAATACAATTTCTATGGGACTTTAAAGGATTGGGTTTAGCATGTACATCATGGGTTATTAAAGTTTACATGGTTATTGTTATTTGGGGAGGTGAGTTGAGATTAACTGTCCTTTTTGCTAGTGCCAAAACAGTGCCTTCTTTGTACACTTTTCTACTTTATAAAGTTCTCCAACATGTTGTTAAATGTCAAGGGGAAACGTACTGAAGTTCATGTAGTAAATAAATGCCAGCAAAGGTCATTTTTTTTTCTAGTCACGTAGATGTGAAAATAAGGTTGCTTGACTTTGTTGTTTAGCTGAGATTTTTTTTTCTTGTACCGTTATATTTAAACACTTTAAAATAGGTTTCTGGATTCTGAGAAGTCTGAGCTTTTATTGTTATTGGTTTGGTTGTTGGTTTTTTTGTAATATTCATTCTTGTTTGTATGTACACAGTTTAGTCTTACTGATTTCAAGTGCATTTTGTTATGGCTTCACCCAATTGGTAATGCTATGTGCTGGAGCGCCATACTTAGCTTCTGTTCGCCATGGCTGAAGCCACTACCACAGTCTCTGGGCCTCAAAGAGCCTTCCCTGACCACTGACAGCCTGTGGGGATCATAACCAGGACCCCAGGCTGATGCCAGGGTCAGGCAACCTGCAAAGTGTGAGCATCCGAAGATACCCTTCCTGGGTGGGGTCTTAGAACGATGGGATAGAAGTGAAAGACTTCAAGTGAAACAAGATAGTGTGGGGTCTCCAGTTTCATTTCCCAGTATCCCATGAGTAGATCAAGATGAATAAGGACCAAGGAACCTCTATGACTCATGGAAGGGGTAGCTGATTCCTGGAACTGGTACAGGAGGGCCTGGCCTGTCACAGTCCTCACACATGCAGTGACAAGACAGCCTTGCTGTGCAACCTGTGTGGCCAAGACCCAGGCGGTGAAGAGCCTTGTATTGCCCACACCTGACTGAAGGGCTCTTTATCTTCATTGTCCAGTGGGGGTGCCCAGTTGTTCTATTGCTTTATTTTGTATCATTGTACTTAATAGAAACTGTTCACAGGGCCCAAAACCCTACAGAAATTACACGTCTGTAAAAACCAACAAAGACATTGGATCTGTGTGAATGTAAAGACTATTTTGTTTAGTACGTAATTTTAAATTCAAATGTTTTAAATGATAATCATTATTCCTTTTTACTGACAAAGTTGGGTTCTTTTTTAGCATTTGTAATAAAAACTGTTGCTGCTTGACCACTGTAAAATGTGCTTTCTGATGTGTCTCTATTTTTAAAATACATTTGAATATGACTTGTCA